GGAGGACCTGGATGGTACCTTCCTCTTGCCACCCCTTCCATTGGTCTGGTAAGATGAGGGAAGGGAAGGATGTTTGCACAGATGTGTGGCCCGGGGTGTGCAAATTGTCTGGGGAGGGGGTGCAGTGTTAGTAAATTCCTACTCCACCTTGGGATTCTGCATGCCCCTATCGCCATCCCTGACTTTCCATATCTACCAGAGGACTGGACTCTTGGTTTTACCATTCCTGGGAAGTCCTTCCCTCGGTCTAGCCCTCCTTTCTTCTTTTTAGTTGCCAGAGGCCTGTCTTACAGGACTAGGGAAATAAGGACCCCTCCTGCACCCCCACCTTTCTCCTCTCTTCCACCCCAGGGGATCTCTCAGCCCCATCCTCAAAAATCCCAGTAATGTCGTGGAAATTAAAGTTACCTTAAATATTCTAATCTTATAACAATTCTGCTTCAATCAACATCTAAATGTGACCACATGTGCCCAGACCACCCAGCGGCCTGGTTGGTGGTTTGGGGTGGGGGGTGAGCTCCTAGAGGGATGGAGAGTAGAGGGCTGTTCTCAGGCATGGCCTGGCTCGGGAGGGAGGGGCTCCCTGGGAGAGGTCTGCAGGCCATTGAGCCCCTCCTTCTGTTTTTCCTGGCCTGCTCACACTGCGCAATCCTGCCCCTTCCTCCCCTTTGCTCAGGCAGCCAACAAAGCACAGCAGGCCACGGGTGGAGTCTCCTTTACACCCTCCTGAACAGCTGGGCTGGGGAAGACTTGGGGCTGGTGATGCTCAAAGGCAAGGAGGCCAAGGCTGGCTTCGTGGGTATGCAGCTCGGAAGGGCTGGGTTTAATGCTCTCCTGGGTCATCTTGAAATTCATAATAATTTTTGGACCAGGGGCTCTGCATTTTTCCTTTGCACTGAGCCCCATAAAATGTAGATGGTTCCTGTGAAAACCCACACTGCCCACTCACCACTCTTTCTATGAGCCCACCTCACTCTCTTCTTACACTCGGTTGACAGTGAACAAGAATTTATTGAGCACCTGGTTTGTGCTGAACATAGTGCTAGATGCTTGGGAATACAGCAGTGAACAACAGAGACATGACCGTGATTCCACAAAACTACCATCTGCACACACTCAGACACTCACGGATCCACACACAGCAATTTTGCAAGACACTTCCCTTAATATCATGTTCATCGTATCTGCCAGTTAGGGAACACTCAGCCTGTGCCAGGAAATGTACATACTTCATTTTGTTTTATCCTCAAAACAGTCAGCAAGGTAGGCATTATTATCTCCATTTTCCAGATGAAAAAACTGAGGCTCAGAGTTAAACTCCCTTGTCCAGTGTCACATAACCAATAAGCGGCAGAGCTGAGACCTGCCTTTGGCTCCTATTTTCAACCTCTCCTCTCCTCCCCTGCCCCCCACCACACATGCCTTCAGCTGCTTCCCCATGGATAGAGGCTCCCAGCATTTCCATGGCCCCAGCCCCCAGCTCAGGGCTACACTTCTGTTAAATGAAAGAATTCACATACAGACACACTCCCCAAGAAACACAAGGAAATAGTCACCCACTGAAACACAAAAATATACATATGCAACACATAATGTACTGGATAAGAGCTTGGTGTCCAATACTGGACTATTTGTGGTTCAAGTCCTGAATCTGCTATGTATCAGCTGTGTGTCTCAGTTTCCTTATCTGCAAAACAGGAATAGTAATAGGGCTGTTGTGAATGCTAAATGAGAAATACACGTAAAGTGCTTAGACAGCACTGGGACACAGTCATCCTGCAATAAATATTACCAGTTGCTATGAATAACATTTGCCCGCCCTCACTCACACATGCTGTCATGTCCATCTTCCCAGCCCTCCTCTAGCCTGACTCAGTCCTAGATACCCTCATGACTGACAGTCCAGGCTCCCAGAGCCAGGAGGGAAGAGCAACTGCATCTCTCAGCATCTTCCAGGTCTGGCTATACCTGGGCGGGCCCACGTGTGTGGTGGGGGGCAAAGGTGCTGCTCCTCACCAGCTCTGGATCCATCAGAGAAGCCTTTCTAGAGGAGGTCTCCAGCCAAGCAGGTTGAACCAGGCTAAGGCAGGAGGGTGCTGCCCTGTGCCTTGGCTCCCTGCATTGTTCCTGACAACACCCACCCCCCAACCTCTATTGCAGCGCCCTCTCTCCGCCCCCTTCCCCACAGTAGAAAATTTCCTCTCCTCCTGCCAGGAGTGTAAATTGCCCCCAGGAATGCGCTGCGTCCCACAGCTCCCCTGGCAGTGGCCAGCGGCTGTCCTGGGGTCAGGCCTGGCCCCACATCAAAGGCTGGGGATTGGTAACAGTGAGGCTCCTTGCCTGCCGCCACCCTCCCCTCCCCTCCCGTCCCCTCCCACCGGCCCTTTGGCTTTCAGGGAACAGCACATGGTAGCACTTAAGTTCCGGGAGAACCAGAGGATGCTTTTCCTGCACACACCCCCTCCCAGCCATCCACAATGAACTGCTTGTTAGGAGACTATTTTAATTTTACTTAATGCAATTTCTGTTCCTGGGCCTCTGTTGCCACCTCCTTCTCAGACCTGGATGCCTAGTACAAATGTAGGGGTGGCCAGTCCGCCAGGGAAAAGTGTAACCTAAATATGGAAACGTCATTGGTGAGAGTCTGGGGCAGGAACTGGACTCTCTTACATCAGGGGAAAAGGGCTGGTTCTCTGGTCTCAGGAAGGGGGGTTGGTTAGGGGAGGGCTCAGAACTAGCTCATCCAACTCAGGAGGCCAGCATGAGAGTTTGGGGTGTGTATGGAAGCCAGAGACTTCCTAGCCAATGTGCTCTGGCAGGCCCTTAGCCAGGCAGCATGTGAGCTTTGTTTTCAAGTTCCTTGGTTGTGACTAGAAGAAGGGGTCACTTTCAGGCTCTGCCTAGCGCCTGAGATTTTCTCCATCAGGTGCATCTTCTGGCAAATTCTGAAAACCAGGGATCCAATGTTACTCTCTGGGACAGTACAGTGATGATTTGGAGACCCCTGGTGGCCAAAGGCTGCAGAGCAAGGCCTTTTCTTAGAGCTCTGCCCAGCAGCGCCAAGCCCAAAGGCCACCAGAATGGACTCCTCTAGTCACCGAGGCTCTTTGGGAACCCCCCTCATTAGTCAGATCCCCCCTGTATAGCCAGGCAAACCTGCCCCATCTTGCTGGGAGGGTGTTCGAACATATCAGGAACGTGGAATGGCCTAGCCTCTGGTGGGGGATAGGGGAGAGGGCAGCCTCAGTCATAGTAAAGCAAAGGGATATGCAATCTACAGCTAATTAATTTCAGGAGTTGGGGGACCAGCTGTCGGGTAGCTGGGACTTGTATGTTTGGCTCCATGGGAGAGATAGCGAGGTGATGTTCTGAACGGCTCATAGTCCTCAGCCCTTTCCCTTCCTTTAGCCCCTGAGTGCACATCACACAACTGTGGGGTTGTAACTGGGAGAACTCACTAAGGGGGCTTTGTTTCAACAGCTTGCAGACCCTGTAATGTCGCCCAAGTTAAATTCTGGGAAAGGAAGTATCTAAAACCTCACGCCATACAAACAGCTGCTGGAAAGTAGGCTGTGGTACTGGGAGGAGAGGAAGGGCGAGGGCCCCCCCTGGAGAAGGAAAGGGTGGTGCAGCTCACTTTTCTTGGCAGGGTCCAGATACCACACAACGCTTTCCACATCTGGGCCCCAGCATTAATTCCCTTATTCTCTCCTTTATTCACTCAAACTCTGCTGTGACTGGACCCTGCCCTA